ACAAGTTTTTGAAAATGGATGGCATGACATGGACCACGAGGTGGACTCATAAATTTTTTTTTTCCAAGCATTTCACCCCTAGCAAGGCGGGAAGCCACTAGGACACAAGGGGTTACAGAAAATAGCAAGATCAGATAGGAGTGATAGAAGAAAGGATGAGGGTAGTGGATAGATCAAGGCAACTGGAGATGTCGATTGACATTACACTTGAATAGCTGGAGATTATAGCTCACAGGGAATCAGCAAGAATTACTTAGAGCAACAAATGGGAGGAAATTGTGGAGAGTCATTCTCACCCATGTTCCAGAAAGGACATAGAATTTACATAGGTAAGGGGATATATATATATATATATATATATATATATATATATATATATATATGTAAGAAAACTGAAGAACAAGATTTTTTTGAAAAATCTTCGATTGAACAATATTAAAAAAAAATGAATTGTGGTACTAACAAAATTATCTGATAATATTATCATATAAATATCAACAAGTACACAAAGCATAACACAATGAAGAACTTGACTAATTTTTTATGTTTGGTTGTGTTATATTCTTCCAAGAATAGACTAGTTCTCTATACTACAAAGGAAAAGATGAACATACAATTTATACACACAATAACATTCTCACAAACATCTTCACATTCTTTCTAAAACAAGGACATACACACACACACACATATATATATATTATTTAAATATATACTGTTAAATAGAAGTGACAGGATAAACTTACTAAAAGGTTTAGTAGACATTTACTGTCCATTCTATTTAACAGAACATGTTTAAACAAAGGGTTACTGTGTAAATATACAATGTTGAAATTATATTTTATTTATTGGTATCAGTCAGTTTTTTTTTTCAATTCATGACAAGACCCTGGCCTTCAAGTCTGGCAGAAATATTCAGTATATACACATGTTGCATTTTTTCTCTGTCTTTTATATATATATATATATTTATATATAGTGTATCTAGGCAGCAATCCTTCATTTATGCATGTTCCATTAAAAATGACAGACAAGATACTACGATTAAGCTTTTTATTTAATTTTTACTTGTGTTCGAACAAGTGTTCTCTTTTTTCGGACACACTTTTCTACACACACTGTCCATAAAAGAAAACACTTGTTTGAACACAAGAAAAATTAAATAAAAAGCTTAATCATAGGACCTTGTTTGTCGTCTTTAATGAAATGCACACACACATATATATATATATTTTCTTTAAAAATGACAAAGTCCTATGATTATATATATATATTTGAAGGACTTCTCACAGAAAAAGTTTTTCCAATTTTGTCATTATTCTGCTTTATATATATATATATATATATATATATATATATATATATATATATATATCATGCGAAATTACCATCGAAAGGTGCTTCACTCTTCTGTGCACTGCTAGTACCAGAGAGGTATAAGTCTGTGATAATAAAACCTGAGGGGTGTTGTTCATTGTGTTCGTGGTAAATATTTGCATCAACTCCTTGTCATCAGCACTTCCAATAAGTGTGGCTGGTTCTACACAAGCGTTCACCACTCTAAACAAATCTTTTATATGGATAGTCTTCAGTTCAGTTCTGGGTTCCTTCTTTGCTATTCCACCTGAGCAACAAGTCTACTGGCGAGAGAGTTAAGGCGGTGGTGACAGGTACAGGATTAAAAAACTGAACTGAAAGATACTGATACATTGAAACGACGGGAGAGTCAATCACCATCATATATATATATATATATATATATATATATATATATTTTAAATATCAAATTGCTTTGATGAGTTTTCTTCCTTGATGCCTCAACTGTATGAATTTAAGCAGACTATTAGATTGGCAACTGCGGATCATCATTTTTTCTGTTGAACTAGCTAGATGCAATTGTATGTTCTATTCTAACAGTTTCTTTTATTGCACTTCTCACCTGTGGAACTCTTCCAGTTTCTTGCTTCCCTTTTGCCTATAATCTTCAGAAATTTAAATGCAGTATCAATCACCATATTCTGTCTTAATATCTGTTTTTTTTTTTATTGTCTTTTCTCCTCTAAAGATTCTAAAGAGGACTTTTAGTCCATATGAGAGGTCAATCTATGATACAGATAAATTATAATAATAATTAGGAAACAAACTTTAAAAATCGACTGTTGGTAATAAATTTATTTTGATGAATATAGATTGACTTCATTTTATGAAAATTTTCATAAAATGTAGTCGGTCTGATGATGCCAGAAAGCACATATTAGGTTGGTGCAAAAATAATGTCATTTTTTGATGTTAAGTTGAATGTCAAAAAACGACATTATTTTTGCACCAACCTAATATTTTTCTGTAATAAGATTTATTGAATATCCAGGCCAGTAGATAAAAATAAATAAAAGTACTGTTTATAATCAAATACGGATATCCACTAAAATAACGTGTAAAATAATAAAATCTGTTACATTAATAAATAAAAAATCTATTATTTCTTTAAAAATTACATATACCTGTATGTCCATATTTTAGATTTTTTATTCTTTTCAACTTTTGTGTCTGATATATATGTATATATTTACACATCCTCTCATTCTTTTGAAAACCAGAACTCAATGAATAAATAAATAGCAGTAGTAAAATCAGTCAGTGATTTGATTCTTCAAAGATTTTACAAATTAGTCAGAACACTTTGGCAAGAGAAATAAATGACCTGAATTTTCTGAGGCTATTCTAAATAGTCTAGTGTTTGGCATAATTACTGCACTGTCCCTGGAACAGCAACACACGTATAATGTTTCAAACTTTCATTCCAGCTGTGGTGTAACATCACTAATATTTAATGATTATTGCTTTACAAAATGTTTGCACAAAGAAAGAAAATGAAATTTCTATAAAGGCTAACAGAAAACAAACACTAAAAGAAATGGCTGGTCGAATTCTGATAAGATCTCTGGGTATAGAAATCTATACAGAGATGAAATCCACCTATTTAAAACACAATGGATATTCATGTTTTGTGAAATAAAAAAAACAAAAACAATTATGCCTATTTTTTTATATTATTAGTATATATATATATATATATATATATATATATATATATATATATATATATATAGATAATATTAGTGGTCTATATATATAGATAATATTAGTGGTCTATATATATATATATATATAGATAATATTAGTGGTCTATATATATATATATATATATATATATTGATCACCAATTATTATCAATATATATATATATATAAATGTATGTATGTATGTTGATAATATTAGTGGTCAATATATATATATATTTCCAAGAGGATAGAATCCAGGTAGGGATCAATATCCAGGACAGAGCAAGAATATAATATAAAAAGGTGCAAACACTAATATTCCATGGTTATAATTTATTACATTGGAATCGTAATCACAATCTAATTCCTCAGACCTACAAATTCAAAAAGAATATATATATATATATATATATATATTTAATCAGAATCACCCCAAGCAAGGCATAATGCCACTAAAACACAAGAGGTTACAGGGTGTAAAAGAATTAGCAACAGAAACATTAATAATGATCAAAAAGAGTAATCAGGTGGAGCCAGAAGGGAATTCCACAAACGAGAAGTATGAGAAAAAGAAACTTAGCATTGAATTTATGGTTATATCTAACCAGCTCAACTGTAAATTGGTGAGATCTAGATGCCAGTCTAGTACTGCACTTAAATACGTCTAGCTACCAGAGTGAAGAGCCCATCTTAACAATTACGATGAAAGTATTTATAGAAAAGTCAAAGGGAGGCAACCCTACAGCCGTGGGAAAGAGACTGAAGCTGAGATACCAGGTCAGGAACAGTAATATTGCTCATTAAAGCAATTGCCATGAAAGAGGGAAGACATGTCATGTCTGTGAGAAAGTAACTGAAGTCAAAATGCCAGTTCAGGATTAATTACATTACAGATTCTTCTTTGGATTTTGTCAAGAATCTCAAGATATATAGTAGAAGCACCAGACCAGATATGGCAGCAGTGTTCAATGCACCTAGGGAAATGGTAGATTTAATTGAATTCTATTCTTTTATTGTCCTTTCTTTTTCTTTCAGTCTTGGGAATCCATTGCATCTTAGTGGCTTTTATTTATTGCCATGCTTAGAATGAAATGACAAACAAAAAAAAAACAAACTATCTACTGAAGTCCATTAAAATTCCAGCAAGCATTATCTCTCCCATTTTACAAGAGAAAAGCAGTTTTAGTTTAATATAGTTAAAAGGTGCTATAAATTGGTGTTATCAGTTTAAAAAGTTTTATTAAATAACAAATTACTAACAACAAATTTTTTTTGTTCCTTTCCAGTTCTTGAAATCTGCTTACTTTTTACCTATTCTTTCTATTTCTTTTACATAATCAGCTTCCATGTCAATGCACTTAGTCCAGTGATAATAAACAAAGAATCAAATGTGATTTTGATTTTGGAAGAAGTTGACTTGAAGGGAAGTCCACAAATCAGAAGAGAAGAAACATTTAGCATAGAACTTAGTTACATTTAGCAATTTCAACTGTAAAATGATGAGACCTAGCTGCCAATCTAGTACTGTGCTTAAATTCATAAAGTCTAGGTACCATAGAGAAAAGCAGAAAAATTACAAAGAAAAGCACAACAATTACCATGAAAATATTTATAGAAAAGGCACAGGGAAGTTACATTATGGTGGTGAGAAAGTGACTGATAGTGAATAATTAGCTATTAAGTGGATA